ACTTATGCTAGACCACATCACCAATCTGGGGTTTAATCCCTAACCTAATTGCAGTTTCAACTTCCTTCAACAATGTAGTCTTAACTGGTCAGTCAGGGATTTTTTGGTCAGTACCAGTGAGGTAATCTGTTGTGGGGGCCAAAGTTCAGCCAACCCAAAATGTACTTTCTTTTTTTTTTGGCCACACTATCACCATTTGTCACACTGAGTCTGAAATGCAATTCATGACATAATGACAAAAAGTTTTTCACAACTACTAGCTGAAAGGATGGTGGGTATATTAAGAGAGATCAAATAAATTGACAACCATATGGAACTTTTTAGATAAAATGGAGTTGTTCTGAAATGTAGATATTTTTCATTCTCTAACAAGACTTTATTTTGTCTTTTTAAAATAAATCAGGTTATCTTCTTGTTCCCCAGAGATGATGTCCTTTGTATCCTACCAGATGATCCAAATCTTCTTTAAATGGATTGTAGCCTTGTTCCTTTAAACAAGGCAGAGCTCAGAAAAGCTGGTCCAGAGGAGGAAATTCTTCCCAGGGAACCCACTCCCAACTTTCATTTTTTTCAGGCTCTTCATTCTTTGGTTCCTGGTCATGAGTCACATTCACCTCTCCTTTCATTAGTATGGTCACATAATGGTAATTTTCTTTCTCAACAAAGGAATTCACAACTGAGGCAAAGTGAATATTTTTCAGGTGAAGAGCTGCTTCTTCCCAGGTTTCCCTTTGAGCACATTCTTCCCACATTTCACTGAACACCAAATGGCCCCCAGGAAGTTGAAAACTGCCAGCTCCAACTGACCCTTTCCCCTTGCCCAGGAGGACACAACAAGGATGCCGGCTGCTAGTCACCACTACTCCTACCGCGATTCCACGACGCCACCTGGGAGGCTCCATGCAGGCCATCATAGCTCGGGAGGACCTGGCAGAGGCCAGCCAAAATGTGCTACTTTGGCATACTGTTTACTTTATTTTAAATATTTTATTTATTTATTTATTTATTTATTTATTATTAAAGATTTTATTTATTTATTTGATAGAGACACAGTGAGAGAGGGAACACAAGCAGGGGGAGTGGGAGAGGGAGAAGCAGGCCTCCAAAAGAGCTGGGAGCCCGATGCGGGGCTCGATCCCAGGACCCTGGGACCATGACCCGAGCCAAAGGCAGACGCTTAACGACTGAGCCACCCAGGCGCCCCTATTTATTTATTTATTTATTTATTTATTTATTTATTTATTTGAGTGAGTGAGTGAGCAGGGGAAGGGGCAGAGGGAGAAGGAGAGAGAGAATCCCAAGTAGACTATGTGCTGAGTGCAGAGCCCAATGCATGGCTCAATCTCACAACCCTGAGATCATGACCTGAGCCCAAATGAAGAGTCAGACACTTAACCTACTGAGCCACCCAGGTGCCTCTATTTACTTTTTTTTTTTCAGATTTTATTTATTTATGTATTGGGGTGGGGAGGAGCAGAGGGAGAGGGACAAGCGGACTCCCAGCTGAGCGCGGAGCCCAATGTTGGGCTCCATATCATGACCCTGAGATCGTGACCTGAGCCAAAATCAAGAGTTGGATGTTTAACTGACTGGGCCATCCAGGTGACCCCACTTATTTTTTTAAGTAGGCTTCATGCCCAGAGTGGAGTCCAAGGTGGGGCTTGAACTCACTACCCTTAGATCAAGACCTGAGCTGAGATCAAGAGTCAGATGCTTAATGTGCTGAGCCACCCAGGTGCCCTGGTATACTGATTATTTTAAATAAAAGTTACTTAAACAGCCAATGCAAAAAGAACTCTGATGTCCCTCTGTCTTCAGGAAACAGGAAATAAATCTCCCATGTGAAAGGCATCCTTTCTATACCAGGAGGTAAATATACATCCTTATTTCCAGAGATATGGCATTTAGACCTGAGAGGGCTATATAAATAATGCTGTTAACTTTTTACTAATTTACTACCCCGACATTAATTCTGTTTAAAATTCCTTGCTAATTGAAGCTCATGAACATGAATTTTCTTTGTCAATTCCTCATAGATTTATTGTCTCTTTGTCTAAAAACTATAAAAACTGCCTGCCCTGGTCATTTCTTTGGGTCTGAATTTTGTTATTGGGCTTCCCTGCACATGTATTTAACTTGGCTTTTTCTCCTGTTAATCTGTCTCATGTCAAATTTATTCTTAGACTAGCTTAGAAGAATCTTAAATGGTATAGGAAATTTTTCCTCCCCAACACTGTCACATGGGCCCTCTCCATTCTCCAAAGGAAGTTGAGGTATTCCACCTAATAAGATTGCCCTCCCCCCCAGGGAAGGTGACCTTACCTGAAACAATCCTTACTTTTCTTAATTATCCCACCCCATTTCTGTTTATAAAACCCTTCTTTTTGTGTAGCTCCTTGGAGTTCCTTTCTTTTTGCTGGATGGGATGCTGCAGGATTTATGAATCGCATAACAAAGCCAATTAGATCTTTAATTTTGCTCAGTTGATTTTTTTCCCCTAAGTTTCTAATCCCATAATAATTAGTCTATAACAGCTTTATGCCTCTTTCTTTTTTAAAGATTTTGTTTATTGGGGCACCTGGGTGGGTCAGTCAGTTAACTGTCTGCCTTCCGCTCAGGTCATGATCCCAGGGTCCTGGGATGGAGCCATGTCTTGAGCTCCCTGCTCAGTGGGGAGTCACTTCTCCCTCTCCCTCTTGTCTACCGCTCCCCCTGCTTGTACTCTCTCTGTCAAATAAATAAATGAATGAAACTTAAAACAAAGGTGGGGGCGTGCCTGGATGGCTCAGTCGGTTAAGTGGTTAAGCATCTTCCTTCCACTCAGGTCATAATCCCAGGGTCCTAGGATCAAGCTCCTCATCGGGCTCCCTGCTTAACGAGAAACCTGCTTCTCTCTCTGCCTGCTACTCCCCCTACTTGTGCTCTCTCTCTTTCTGTCAAATAAGTAAATAAAAAATAAATAATTAAAAAATATTTATTTATTTGAGAGAGAGAGAGAACATGAACAGGGGGAGGGATAGAGGGAGAAGCAGGCTCCCCGCTGAGCAGGGAGCCTGATGCAGATGAATTGATCCCAGGACTCTGGGATCATGACCAGAGCTGAATGCAGCCACTTAACCAACTGAGCCACCCGCCCCCCCCTTTTTAAAGTAAGCTCTATTCCCAATGTGGGGCTCCAACTCACAACCCCTAGATCAAGAGTTGTGTGTTCTACTGACAGAGCTAGCCAAGTGCCTTGATGCCTCTATTCTTTAACTTTTTTTGGAGACAGAAGGTCACTTGTATAGAATTCTATAGAATACAGGGGCGCCTGGGTGGCTCAGTGGTTAAGCCTCTGCCTTCGGCTCGGGTCGTGGTCCCGGGATCCTGGGATCGAGCCTCGCATCGGGCTCCCTGCTCCGCGGGGAGCCTGCTTCTCCCTCTCCCACTCCCCCTGCTTTTGTTCCCTCTCTCACTGTCTCTGTCAAATAAATAAATAAAATCTTAAAAAAAAAGAATTCTATAGAATACAGAATATAACTGTTTGCATACTTGTAGTCTATCTCCTAGTCAATTTAAAAAAACAATTTTCCCAGCAGGACTTGCAAGATTAGAGGTATGAATAGCTTTTACTTATTATTACTTTGATCCTCTAATGTAGCACATCTTGAGAATATTCAAGGATCAGGACACTTTAATATGCTTGAATGCCTTCCCTACCACTTATTGCTGTAGTATCTAGGAATGGACCACTTGCTTGTCACTTTTCTTTTCTACCTTTAGAACCCTACTTAAGGGTGGACTCCTTAGGGTCACTTTCCTGACTCCATTCTCCCACTTTAGCCTGTGAGAATCCCACTTTCCTTCAGAGTTCCTGCCATCATATCCTACACTTAACCACATGGAACTGGAATTGTCTGTCTCTTATACTGTAAGGAGCCCTTTGAGAACTGGTTTATATTGTGCCTGAAAGTTAGAGGGAATGGTGGGCAGCACTGTTTAATGCTTAAATAGTGGTCTGTTGATTGAGTTGAGTTCCTCCATACCACCCATCCCCGCTCCTCCCACTCCCACCTCTACATATTCTTTTAGAGGTATATATACCCCCCACATATCCTAGTGTTAAAAACAAGACCACCATAAAATGGAGCCACTTATGTTTAGCCCCACATCACCAAAACAAGACTTAACATAACTACAGTTTGGGCTCTCCCAGAAATGGGATCTTAAGCCAGTCAATCAGTAATCACCTAATCAACACTAGTTAGGTAATTTGCCTGATAGACCCCTGCCATCCTCTAAAGCAAAGTGACTTTGCCATAACAATCTACCTTTTTTTCTAGTATAACTTCCTTATTCTCAGTCCCATTTGCCTATAATAGTCTTTCATTTTGAAACTTTATTTTTTAAGTCATCTCTCTGCCCAACGTGGGGCTCAAACTCATGACCCAGAGATCAAGAGTTGCATGCTCTACCAACTGAGCCAGCCAGGAGACCCAATATTTTAAAATTCTTGATTCATATTGCCATATTATTTCCCAAAAGTTAGAAGACAACTTGTTTGGAAGTTGTATTCTCAACCTCATATAAATGGAATCATTAAGGGATGCCTTGATGGCTCAGTTGCTTAAGCGTCTGCCTTCCGTTGGGGTCTGGGATTGAGTCTGTGGGCTTCATACTCAGCGGGGAGCCTGCTTCTCCCTCTGTCTGCTCAGCCTGCCCCTCCCCCTGCTTGTGCTCTCTCTCTCTCTGACAAATAAATAAAATATTTGAAAAATTAAAAAAAATGGAATCATTCAGTGTCTCTTTTGAGCCGACTTAACAGTGCCTGTGATATGCTTCCAAGTTGTGTTTATCAGTAATTATTTCCCCTGGCTGGATAGTAGTTCACTATAGAACCACAATACAATTCATTTAGGGGCACAACTACTGATGGATATTTGTGTTACCATTGGTTGATTACTCCGATCAAAGCTGCTATGAACACTCTTGTACAAGCCACGGTAGATGTATGCACTCATTCCAATTGGAGTGGAACTGCTGGGTCGCAGGGTGACTATAAACTTAGCTCTAATAGACACTGTTTAAACAGTTTTCCAAAGTGGTTGTACCATAGGGCTGTTTTTACAACTTGGTCTGACTGTGAGGAAGGTAGATAACCTACAGGTACGATTTGCATCGGGTAATGTGAACTCCAACTTCGTGCTTGACTAAGCTTGATGCTTTCATTTAAATGCTCAAAACACGGTCAGGCAGGAGCCCCAATTTCACCCATGCACAGACTTGGTAAGGCCAAGTGCCTTGCCCTCAGTTTCACTGTGGGTGGGCTTGGCCACACACTGTGACTGCCACACAGCCCCCGAACAAATTTCTTATTCAAATTTTGAAAAACGGAGTGTTTTTGAGAGCATTAAGTTTAGCTCACAATGTGAAGAAAGCACGGCAAATCGCACTGGCCTCAATCCTCCTCCGGAGGCAGCGCCGACTTCCTCTCAGCGGGAACAAAGCAAGCACTCACTGAAGCCGCATGAGGATCTGGTCGGTCCCGCCCCTCACCTAGGCACCTGCGCAGATTGAGGCCAAGGGAGCTAGGCGCCCCAGGCGCGCGTGACGTAGTAACGCTCGACGGTGCGTGATGACGCCAGGGCGTGCGCTCGGTGGCTCGTAGGGGAAGATGGCGGCTGCTCCTTTGGAGGAGAGGGATTGAGAGGGGTGGAGGGAAGAGGCCGGGCGGGAGAGACATTTCCGACAGTGAAGACGAACCCTTTGCTCACCATTCATTAGGAGCTCTGCTCAGCGCTGGAGGGTGAGTGCAGCGGCGGCACGGGACCTCTCGCCTGCAGCAGGCGGCGGCACTTTCCGCCATTTTCAAGCTCGGCCGTTGCGTGCTTTGGGGGCCTGGGGGGGCGCCTGGGGACAGGTTGGGAGAGCAGTGAGGATCGTCGTCGGGAGGGCCCTTTGAGGCTAGTTCGAGCTTTAGGGGAGGGAGTTAGAGGCTTGAGGCGGACTGGGGAAGGAGGGCATGGTAGGACTAAGGCTCTTGACTGGGAACCGGTGGCGACAAGAAGACGTAGGTAGGGTAGGCCACGAATAAGACGTGAAGTTTAGAGAAGGGAAACGCATTAAACAGAGATTTGGGGCGGGAGTGGAAGGGTTGAGCCGAGAGTTGAACGGAATGTGGCTTTGAGTGGTTGGTTTAAGGGGTCGTGGGAAGTTAATGCGAAACCTGTAAAACAGCGGCAGGTTTGGCCTCGATATTATCGTGTCTTGAAATTGGTGTTTGTAACAGGGATAAATCCACAGTTTGACAAGCAAAACCCTCCTCCTTTGGAAAAGTTACATTCCTATTTTGTTTGCATTAGATCATGCTACCTGCCAGTGTCCCTTCAATAACTCCTCCACATCTCCGGTTTTAAGTTGCTTTCTGACAAATAGATATTTTAAGATCTTAGAAAACTTTATTTTTTAGAAAAGAAAATAAATACTGATACTAGGTTGTTGTAACCCTTGTGGTTAGTGGCCCTTCCGTTGAAAGAGGAAAGTGGGTCGATAGGGAATTCCGTAATTGGATCTGTTTAAATCAGATCAGAAAAGTTACTTGTAGAAAGGCTGTCAATATTTTGAAGTAATTTCTGCACAGATGACATTAAGTTCACTGTTCAGGAACTTTGGAAGACATTCGAGTATGAACAAAAAAGCCAGTGTTAAAGGACTACCTCTTGGGAGCGCTGAGTTGACTTTTAAGTACACCCTGGAGATCTAGTGCACGCAGTATTTTTTGCCTGTGAACGTGAAGCACTGGTAGATCTATTTAATTCAGACAAAACTTTTAGAGACTGTTAGTTAAAAGGAAGCGTGTTAATTGTTCCCATGGTGGCATTTTTCTTTTCCTAATTTTAATTGCTTTTGACACCCATTTTTAATCACCATAAGATACTTTTGCACTTTTTAATTGATCTTCCTGCCTAGAAGATAAAATACCGTAAAGATTTGAGTTTGCGCAGAGGCTTGAAGTTACGTTTTTAGCCTATTTTATTGAGATTCACAGAAAAATTTTATCTTTCTGTACTTGTGTTAAGAGTATTGGTAGAAAGTTGGCCTTGTATCACAATGATTTAGTTACACATCCTTATCTATGATGTTGATAACTTGCATTCTTTGGTTGCTGAAAAATAATAAAAGAACAAATTTTGCATCACAGTTGTATCTTAATCTATGGCTTTAGTTACACTTTTCCTAGCCACTTAAGGTGCTTATTCATAGTTCTCTCTGCTAAGTAGTAAGTCCACATTTTTCACATTACTTTGGAAAAAACGTTATTTATTGCCCAAGTTCATACTGTTTCATATTTCTGAATAAGGAAGTAAGGTCATAGTAAAGCTTGTTTTCTTTCTTTCTAAAGATTTTATTTATTTGAAAGAGAGAGAGCACGAGGTGGTGGATGGGAGAGAGAGGGAGAAGCAGACTCCCCGCTGAGCTGAGAGCAGAAGGCAAATGCTTAACTGACTGAGCCACCCAGGCACCCCCATAGTAAAGCTTTAAAACTACAGTAAATACATTGACAGAAATACTAGTGAAAGTCTTTCACTCACAGACATACATATGGAATCCTTTTGAGAGTGCTTAGCAAAAAATTAGGACCTTTATGACTGTTTTTAGATAAAAGTAGTATTTGTAGTCTGCAGATTAGAAATCTTCATCATCAAAATATATTTACTTAAATGTCAGACTTAACACTTGTTTAAGCATTGCAGATTTGTTGTTTTAAGATTCCGGATTTTCCTACTTTTCTGTCCAAATTATTCCAAGATTTCATTTGTGTTGAAATTTTTGCTTGTAAGAGGTGTTATATCTGGAGGCCATATATATATATATATATATTGGTGGTGGAATGGTGAAAGTTTCTCTGTTGCTGTAATGTGTTGTGTGATGAGTAAGTTGCCAGACCATAGTTTTAATGCTGAAAGACATTTGATCTTTGTCTTTTACATTGATGTAGGTTGAAAACTTTTCTCCCTGAACACACTCTGTGGTTGATATTATTTCTGTCCCCATTGCAAAAGACTTACATTAGTCCTAGACACAGAAGCTCTTAGGTATGTTGGAAAATCTTACCCACATTACTCTCCTTTCTGGTCCTTGAACATTTTATGTAGTATTTTCTGGTGGAGGACTGACTTCATAATGTTTGTATTGTATCTTATATTCATAATTTGAGTGCTTATAAATTCTCAGAGCTGGTTAGTATTGGAAAGGGCATGGCTTTCAGCAGTAGACAGACCTAGGTTTGAATGGCAGGCTCACCATTAGCCAGCTTTTTTTTTTTTTAATTTTATTTATTCGACACAGAGCGAGAGCCCACGTGAGCAAAAGCAGGGGGAGCAGCAGAGGGAGAGGGAGAAACAGGCTCCCCACTGAGCAGGGAGCCCGACATGGGGCTCCATCCCAGGACCCTGGGTTTATGACCTGAGCTGAAGGCAGCCGCTTAACTCAACTGAAGCACCCAGGCGCCCCTAGTCAGCATTTTTATATTGGGTCAGTTAATTAAATTCTGAATGTCAGTTTTCTTACATATAAAAATGTTAATTATTATAGTAGTTACTTTAAAGGTGAAAGACGGTGATATGTAAGCATTTAGTAAATTTTGGCATTTTTCTTTCTGTGACTTTAATTGGCTGTCATTTTCAGGAGTTTTTTTTTGAGGTATAATTGACATGTATAACATGATATTAGTTCGAGGTATACAACATAATGATTTAGTATTTGTATATATTGTAAAATGATCACTTCAATAAGTGTAGTTAACATCTGTCACCACAGTCACAATTTTTTTTTCTTGTGATAACTTTTAAGATCTACTCTTAGCAACTTTCATATATGCAATAAAGTATTATTAACTATAGTCACCATGTTGTATATTACGTCCCCATGACTTACTTTTTTATAACTGGAAGTTTGTCCTTTGACCTCCTTCACCTATTTTGCCTCCCCTCCCCCTTTTCAGTTTTTAAAGTTTAACTCAAATATCTTTGTTAAAGATTTACAGTCTCATTCCTCTGTTAAACTGTTCCTTTCTCTGTGTTATTAATGTATTTTTATTTTATTTATTTTTAAATAATTTATTTCTTTGACAGAGAGAGAGAGCTCAAGTAGGCAGAGGGAAAGAGAAACAGGCTCCTTCCTGAGCCGAGAGCCCAATGTGGGGCTTGATCCCAGGAGGCTGGAATCATGACCTGAGCTGAAGCCAGATGCTTAACTGACTGAGCCACCCAGCGGCCCTCTCTGTGTTATTAAAGCATTTTGTGCATATGTTTACTTAATGTATTTTGATTGTGTATCTTCTCCTCTCCTTTGTGAACTCTTTGAAGGCATATACTTCATTGCCTTATATTTTTGTATTCATAAAGACTAGGCATTATAAAAATTGAGAAATGATAGAGTAAGTTTTCTACAAAAACTTTCCTCAGGGCACCTGGGTGGCTCAGTAGTTTAAGCGTCTGCCTTCGGCTTGGGTCATGATCCCAGTCATGATCCCAAAGTCCTGGGATCAAGACCTGCGTCAGGCTACCTGCTTGGCGGGAAGCCTGCTTCTCCCTCTCCTGCTCACCCTGTTTGTGCGCTCTCTTTCTCTCTCTCTGTCAAATAAATAAATAAAAATCCTTAAAAAAACCCAAAATACTTTCCTCATGACTACTGGGATCCGTTTTCACACAGATCTGGTTTATTCTGCTCCTTGGCCTTTACTTAAGATCTCTTTGCCTGCCTCCCTCCTCTCAGACCATTCATGTCCTATCCATTCCTCAAAATCCAGTTAAATCTCATCCCATTAATGAGGTCTTTAGTGACTTTATTTATAACTCCTCTCTCCAGTTAGCCCAGGGTCTGTGTGACTGCCTTCTGTTACTTTGTGTCCTGTAGTACTTGGCACTATGCCTTACCCGTTTTGAATAGGTCCTTGGGTGATAAGTGCAAGACTGTGCTGAGGCCGAGTTTGTTATAGGCACCTGCTCTATTCACTGTCCCACTTAGTAAGATACTTTTAAGGAACAATTTCTCTTTTTTTGTATGTGGAATATTCTGGTGACTTTTCCCCCATCTTTATATGTTATGAGAAATTGCAAACATACAGAAGAGTTGAAAGAATGAACGCCTATTGGGGCGCCTGGGTGGCTCAGTCATTAAGCGTCTGCCTTCGGCTCAGGTCATGATCCCAGGGTGCTGGGATCGAGCCTTAGATCGGACTCCTGCTCCATGGGAAGCCTGCTTCTCCCTCTCCCACTCCCCCTGCTTGTGTTCCCTCTCTCAACTGTGTCTCTCTCTGTCAAAAAATAAATAAAATATTTAAAAAAAGAAAAAAAAGAATGAACTCATTACTTTCCATTTAGATTTACGTGTCACTAACATTTAACCATTTGCTTTAGCCCTCTACCTCCTTGTTCAACAATCAATTGAAATTAAATTGTGTATATCATGCTGTTTGTCCCCTAAATACCTCAGGATGCATCTCTTTAAAATAATGTCATTCTTTCACACTTTATACATTTTTATTTCAAACCAGACTCTAAGGCAATATTAAAAACACAGTACCATTATTATGCCTAACGCAATTAGCATCGTCTCTGGCATTCACTTTTAATTTTTGTAATTTTTCAATTTTAATTTTTATTATTTATTTTTTTAAGATGATTTTATTTATTTGGAGAGAGAGAGAGCGAGAGGGAGCACAAGCCAGGGGGAGAGGGTGAAGCAGGCTCCCTGATGAGCAGGAGGCCTGAGGCGGGGCTCAGTCCCAGGACCATGGGATCA